ATGCACCAGTTCCACGGCCCGAACATGAATGGCTGCGCGGGAGTCTTCGACGCAGCCAGCAGCAAGGTGGACAATGACACGCTGGTGCTGAGGAAACCGGGTATGTGGGTGCGCGCGGGCCGTCCGCACGAGAAAATTCGCGGGATGAAAGATGCGGGCGCTACCCCGTTCCTGTGCGACGCAAGGCTTGCACGAGCCCATTAGCCCTGTGCAACCTCTTGCTCTTCCTGATGACCTATGTAATGTAAAACGTTAAACAGGCCTAACCTAGAACCGCGTTTGCCTAATTTACACCTGAAAGTGATACTTGAGCCACTAGCAGATGGTCCTACTCGGGCATCCAAGATCCATAATACAAGCCTGTAGTGTTGCCACCGGCTGCGAAGTTGCGACCCCCCTCGTGGGGGTCGTGCCTCTTGAGCGCGTACGGCTACGGGGGTCGGGGGTGCTGGGTAGAGGCTATTAGTAGTCGCACTACTTTACCACGCTCCACGGTACAGTACCCGGGCACGGGGGTTTGATGGAAGTTGATTTTATTGTAATTTGTAAAGCCGAGCCGTAATTCACGGCGCGACTCGCGTCCCCGTGACGGGACAGAGATGCGGATTGCGGTTGCGGAGGGCGGAGGGCGGAGCACCCGAGCGGGGCCGGGCCAGGCTGGCAGCCACAGCGCGACGTCGACGGGCGACGGGCGCGTGGAAGAGGGTCGAGGCAGGGAGGGAGGGAGGAGGAGGGCGGGGCGGGGAGAGCGCGGGGCTGCATCCCGAGCGGCCCAGTCGCGATGAACGGAGGCCCCTCCCCGAAAGGCAAGTATTAGCCACACGAAACCGAGACCCCTCCCCCCCCGCCCCGATCCCCCCACCCCCTTGCTCCCCTCCCCCCCCTCGGGAGGGCCGAACTGAGGCGCCCGTGGGGACCCCGCAATTCCCTTCCCCCCTCGGAGGGCCGGACTGAGGCGTCGAGGGCCCCACTCTTTCCCTCGCATAGCGGCCACTCTTCGGATCGCTGGTCGAGCGACCCGGGGGATGCCCCGCGCGCCTGACCCAGGCGCGAAAACGAATCTGCGAGGCGTGGCCGCTCATGCGGCCCGATGGGGAGGAACGGGGCGAGCCCCCTCCAACCCACCCGCGCTAGGTCTCGGGTTTGACGCATGGGGTCACTCCCGCGAAACTCGGGAACTAGCCGGGGCAGTCGGAGAAGTGGCAACTCCGTGCACTGACGGTCGGCCGCCAGAAAACACGCCTCCGTGGCTCGGGTTACACCAATCCTCGCTACCCAACGCGGCCAAAGGATATCCACCTCGAGAACCTCGAGAACCTCGAGTGAGCGAAAAGACTTTTTGAGAGTGAGTGAGTTTGAGTTCACACCGAACCGTCTACAGCTCGCCGTTGACAGAGATGACAACCAGCAGAGCGAGTTTCATTCTACATCATGGCTCCTCCACGGAGTGATCGAGACGCGTGGCGCCCACGTCCGACTCCTCCTGCTCCTCCCCCCTCCGCCCCCCTCCTCCTCCTCCTCGTGTCAAGGGGTGTGTCGAGGTGTGTCGAGGGTGTCGAGCGGGTGTCGAGTGTTGTCAAGAGGCGTCTCTGAGGTGTCGAGGTGTCCAAGGTGGCAGGATGCAGTTGCAGCCCATCAACAAAACTTGGGCAGCAGTTGCAAAGCTGTTTCATCCCTTAGAAGTTGCAGCCTCTCAGTGCACCCTGTTGATGTAGCACAACCTGAGCACAACCAGTATACTCTCTGGTGCCATGAATCAGTGGACATTGCCACTGCACAAGGTGCTGTCCAGCAGCTAAGGGCTACAGCACCCCATCGCAGCAGCGTCGCCGCCGCTGCAGCGTCGCCGTTGTCAGCATCGCCAGTGCACAAAGCGCAATGGACCACAGGTCTGCACTCATGGCACAAGCTCACTGGTGTGAGGATTCATTGCCACTGTACAAGGTGCTGTGCAGCACCTGAGCTGGCTACCTGAGTACTGCCATGTTTGCTACATCAACAGGGGTGCTGAGCCGCAACTTGACCTAGAACTTTTGAGAGGCTGCAACTGAGGGATAAAAGTACTGCCATCCAAGTATTGCTGCTGCAAACCCTGATTTTCTAACTCTGTGACTCCAATGTGGGTCTACGTCTCTGCTGGTGTTAGATCATCAGAGGTGTCGAGGTGGTGTCGAGCGGTGTCGAGCGCTCGAGGTCGTGTCGAGCGGTGTCGAGCGGTGTCGAGCGGTGTCGAGCGGTGTCGAGGTGTCGAGGTGTCGAGTTTGGCACCTTGACACCGGCGAGCGTGGTACCAGCCTGATCGTAGATGGTGTCGAGGGGTGTCGAGTATGACTATGACTTTACAACAGATACTCAAAGGTCATGCCTGCGCACGGCGTGCCCTGGCCGCCACATACAGACGAGATGCTATGTCAGAGCAGGAAATCCCAAGGTTGCGTCCACGACGCGCGGGGCGACGCCATCGACGTCAGACACGGCATGCGTGCCGCCTCAGATCCTGTCCATGCGAGGCATTCGCGGGGCGGCGCGTGGTCGCTGTGACGGCAGCAGGCAACCACAGCCTCGCACAAACCTCAGACGGTGCCTTCTGGGGGTGGGGCGAGGGGGACAACTTTGCTGTAGGCCAGGGGGAGGACACGTCTAATATCGACGCGCCTAGGCAGATCGAGATAGTGTAACGAGTAGTGTGTAGGACGCAAGAGACGCTGAACAATAACACAAAGCGCTGAAACTCCGAAGCAAGATGGTTGTGGGACGAGGGTCCCCGCCCTGCACGATCTCCCCCATCGGAGGCCCGCGTCTCTACTGGGGCAGTGGCAGCAGGCTCTCGCGTGAATCTCATGTGAACGAACAGACAGTCATCTCGAGCTCGACCCTGCAGTGCTCGTACCGTCAGCTGCCGATCCGCACGCACACCCCAGGAGGCGCCACCTCCACCGTCACGACGCAGGTCCGACCACCGCCACAGTCGCTATCAGCAATTCTTAGTGGCGATGCGCCAATCGGATCGGCGTCGGTGTCTCCGGCACCCACGAGCTGAACTGAGCGACGGCGCGGCGACTGCGGTGGTGTTGAGCACGGCGTCGGGACACACCCAGTAGATGGCGCCTCACGAGTGTCATCTTCGCTGATCTGCATCTTCAGCGTGGCTGCACACGGGTCTGAGGCTCGGCTGAAGTCTACCCTCCAATTGCTTTGGGTGTCCTGCACTTGCGCCGCGGGCTTGACGGGTGGCTTGGAACTGACACAGCCCATGGTACCGTAGTCGTTTCTCGCGATCCGGTGATTGGCAGAGCAGACGAGACAGCCCGTCTCGACCGATGCCGACTCCCTCGGCCAATCACGCGTCGCGCTGCGATTGATTGAAAACTGTAGGATCCTTGTCTGTCGATCGCTCTGCAGGCCCTTCTCGTCCATTGGTTCCGGGAGATGGACGTGGATGGCTCGGGCACACTCGACACTGCAGAGATGTCAGAGCTCCTCCGTGCCGCCGGCCTCTTTGTGAGCCAGGAGGATGTGCACGCTCGTTTTGCGAGGGCAGCCGGGAGAAGGAGCAACGAACGACCGCTCCCACGCAGATGAGAAACCGGTGTGCGACATGCATCTAGGTCGGGCTGGCGGAAGAGGAGCACCTGAACCCTATTGCTTTCGCGCGATCATGCAGCGCACAGGTGTGTGTGTGTAAGTGTGTTTTGATAGTTCCACCGCCTCCGCCGCGCTGACCACCACGTCTCCTGGTAGGCCGCACATCATGACGGCGCGCCGCCAGCGGATGATCGACGACGTCATGACCCCCTCCAAGCGGCCCGCGTTTGCTTCGCCGGACGTCTTTGAGCGCAAGTACGGCATCAAGGCGAGCGAGCAGCCGCCAATGCCAAAGGGCCGAGGTCGGTCGGTTAAGGCTGGACCTCTCCCTTGCGACAGGCGCACTGTTAGAACGGACACCGCAAGACCAACGACCTTGCTTTTAGGTGGATGCGCCGGCCGACGTGTCGCACAGGGACCGCCCAACTATGGCTCAAATCTTGCTTGGGGACGGCTCGATCGACCCGTGGACCCGCGCCGAGCGGGCTGAGGCGCGGCCATTTGCCGAGCACGTTGCTACTGAGAGGCAAGCTCTTCACAGTTCTGGCTGTGAGTAGGAGCGAGCGGCCAAGCTTAGCGGCAAGGCACAGCGAGGGCGGAATCGCTGCTAGGTTCTGACGCCTCAGAACAAGTCCTCGCTGCCATAGGCGCGACTTGCGGCGGCGGGTCCCCTCCAATGAGGTGTCTTTCTTGTCTACACGGCTATCCAGCTCGCTGCACGGGGGCGAGTTTTGGAGGTGTGGGCTCGGCGACACCGCGCAGAACCCCGCCGTGGCAGAAGCGGCTCCAGTCGCAGCGTCCTCCAGACGCTGGCTGTCTTCAGCTTATCCCAAGGCTCACAAAAGACATACGGCGCGACCCAATCAGAGTCTGAGTCAGCGTCTCTAGCTAGCTGGGAGCTGGGTTCAGCAGCCTCGCGATGCGGTTCTGCCTAGACCGGACGCGGAACCATCCACATCATCACTGGCTCGCGGCAGTAAGGGCACTCTCGCATCAGCTCAGAGCATGGCCCGCAAGCACACAGGTGCCCGCACGGAACCGCAGCATGCGACTTGACTCTCGCGAAACACACGATACACGTGGTCTCGCCCCCCATCGTGGACTCGGGGGCAGCCGGCCGCCCCGTGTCGAGGCCGGCGTCGGCTAGTGAGACGGCAGCAAGCGGCTCGGTGACTGGCAGATGCTGCTCCGCCGCCTCTCCCGCCTCCGGCTCGATCAAGCGCTCGATTGCGCCGACCCGCTCCTCGAGGCTACCCTCGGTCGCCGCGCCGAGGCTCGCCTCCAGCCGATCGACACGCCGCGGCAAGTCCCCGCCGCCGCCGGTCGACTCACTGCTCACCGCCTCCTCGCACCGCGACACCCGACGCGCCAGCGCCTCCTCCGCATCCACCTCTGACCGGAGCAGCGCCTCTGCCAGCTCCGCATCCTCGCGCAGCGCCGCCCGCTCTGCCGCACCCGCTAGCTCTGCCGCCTCGCGCTCCGCCCGCTTCGCCGACTCCTGCTCAGCAGCCAGCTGCGCCGCCCTCTCCTCCTGTGCGCGAACCTCTGCCGCAGCCTTTGCCCTCCGCTCCTCCTCGAGCGCGAAAGCAGACGGCGCCTTCTTGGCCTTATTGTTCTTCGCCTTGGCCTCCTTCTTGGCCGCCGTTGCCTCCGCCGCCTTTGCGCGCCGCCTCGCCTTCTCCTCCTCCGCCCTCCTGTCCGCAGCCTCCTTCTCGCGCCGCGCTGCCTCTGCCTGAGCGGCTTTGCGCGCCGCCGCGGCCGCCCGCTGCTCCTCTCGCTGCGCCTCCTCCGCCGCAAGCCTCTCCGCCTCCCTCGCCCGCAGCGTCTCCTCTGCTGCCGCGCGCTCAGCGGCCAGCTTCGCCTCCGCCTCCGCCGCAATGGCTCGCCTCTGCTCCTCCAGCGCCGCCGCGTCCGCCGCTCGCCGCGCCTCGTCCGCCGCTCGCTCTGCTTCGCGCTGTCGTGCCGCCTGCTCGCGCTCTCGCGCCGCCGCCGCCTCCTCCCGCTCGCGCTGCTCGCGCCGCCTCTTGGCCTCTAGCGCCTTCTCGGCCGCCTTCTCAGCCGCCTGCGCCTCCCTCAGCGCCGCTGCGTGCTCTGTGAGAGCGCGCACGCACCCGGCGTGGTCCGTTTCAGGAGCACTGGCGGCGTCGGCAGTAGCTAGCACCTTGGCCGCCTTCTCCTTGGCGATCTCCAGCGCGGACCAGCCGTCTGCAGAGCGAGCCTTTGTATCCGCGCCAGCCCGAAGCAAGCGATGCACGACGGCGGGGTGGCCTTGGAGGGCGGCGATCATCAGCGCTTTGCCGCCGTCGCTGTTCCGCTGGTTGACCTCAGCGCCGTGCCGTATCAGCAAGTCGACCACCCGCTCGTGGCCGCTGTGGGCGGCGAGCATCAGCGCGGTGCCGCCGTCGCTGCTCTGCAGGTTGATCTCAGCACCGTGCCGTATCAGCAGGTCGACCACCCGCTCGTGACCGTGGTGGGCGGCGAGCATCAACGCGGTGCAGCCGACGCTGTCCTGCAGGTTGACCTCAGCACCGTGCCGAATCAGCAGCTCGACCACCCGCTCGTGGCCTCTGACGGCGGCGTCCATCAGCGCGGTGTCGCCGCGGCTGTTCTGCAGGTTGACATCCGCCCCACGCCGGAGCATCAGCTCGACCATCCGCTCGTGGCCTTTGGAGGCGGCGCCCATCAGCAGCGTGAGGCCGCTCAAGCCGCCTCTCTCGTACGTCGCGTTGACCCGCCCGCCGCCCTCGAGCCACGCCAGCACCGCCTCCTCCTCGCCACGCTCCGCCGCCAGCACGGCCGCGTCGGAGCAGCTCAGGGATCCTGCGCCGGTGCTAAGCTCGCGTGCACTCGGCGGGCCGCCAAGCGCGCGTGCACTCACCATCGCTGGGTTCCGGCTTTTTGGGGGGCAGGGGGGCCCGACGGAGAGAGAGAGAGAGAGAGAGAGAGAGAGAGAGAGAGAGAGAGAGAGAGAGATGCTGGCATGCGTGACATTGGACAATGATTGCTGAGGTGGGAGGTGGAGGGGAGGAATGCGTGGAATTAGTAACTGATGAGGCTTGGTCGAGTACGAGGACTGGGGGGGGAGGGGGTTCAACCTGGTGGCGGAGGACTGTGGGCCATCGCGGGGACTGCTGCGTACGGAGGACGCGGCAGATTGATCCGGATGGTCTTGTCGTGCCAGTGTGCTTTACAATGGCTGGCTTCATCTTACGGGAAATTTGGGCGACTCAAGCCTTTGTGAAGGAATTTTGCCTTCCGAAGGGGAATGGAGAGAAGACTAGGGTACAGACGAAAGCCAAGCGATGGGTTGCTGAGCTTCACACCCTAGCACAGCCGTGGATCAAGGCGCTTACACGGGCAGTACGCATTCCTGCTATAGAGCGACTCGCAGACTTCATACAGAGCGCAGAGGAGGTTCAGACCGAGGACACGCGCGCGATTGTCTATGCTAGATTCAGCCTCGACGGCACAAAAGCGATTTATATCGGCGAAACCGAGTTCTGGCGTCGCCGACAGGAGCAGCACTTCACCGGGACCGTACGGCATTCACGAGAGTACCATGCCTGCAGCGGGAAAGGGTGCGGTGGACATGCGAGGTATGTGGCGCACCGCGCTGCACGCCCGCATACGTGGTTTACTGTACCGCTAGCTGTGTGTGCGAGCAAGCGTGAAGCAGTGCGAATGGAGGGGAGGCTAATCCGCACATTGCGGTCAAAGCTCAATATGGAGGAGAAGAGACGCACAGGTAGGAACAGCCAGCCTACATACAAAGAAGAGATGAGGAAACAGAACCGGGCAGAGAGGACCCGAAGGAGACCTGGCGTTCCGCCATGGAGAAATCCGCTCCGAAGAGTCCTCCGGCTGAGGGGCGGGTCCAGTACGGAGAGACAGAGCCGGTTTGGCTTCACATGGTTTTGGCGGGAAGGTGAAACGCGCAAATGCTGCAACCTTGGCACAATCCTGCGGGAAGCAGAGGAGAGTATGGTAGGCGAGAGCATGAACCTTGTTGTTTGCTACCGCATGGGCAGCGAGGACGTCTCCAACTGGCGGTACCTAAGGATGAGGTTTGCTCACTGGGACATCGCAACGCACACCGGGGAAACAACGAGCTTCAGTAACGGAGTGGCAGCGATACGGCACGGCGAAGACCACGGAAGTTTCACCGTGACGGCGAGACGCTTGAACAGCACTCCCTTTGAAGAGCCGAGTAGTGCTGCTTTCCTGCTGGCGAGCAGTGCATGGTTTGTGAGGACGGAGGATGCCTCGTCGGCAGACTTCTTCAGGGACGTCGGAAAAGAAGTTTGCAATCTGACCGAAAAAGAAATGAGCCTGTGGAAAAGAGGGAAGTACCTCGACAAATCCACATGGTTACAGATGCGTCGTGTGCTATGGAAGGAGTACGAGACCAGATACGAAGGGCTCACACGTAATACGATTGAGGTGCGCTTGCCTTTCGTACCAGGAGTCGACGCTCGCCCGCTTCGAGCCTACCTCGATGAACTAGTACGGAGGCAACCCTGGCCGGAACACATAATCGAGTGGCACTGCCAAAGGATCAAGATAGTGACGGTACGGCAGAAAAATATCATTGAACGGCTCTCAAATGTCAGTGACCCAAAAAGACCGCAGCGGTGCGCCTGTCAGGCGATACAGCAGCGACTAACGTCTTTCGGGTTCGAGCCTCTGCCGATGGCGGAAGGGCATATCTTCTGCATTGGACGTGAATACAACGGCCCGCACGCCGAAGTCCTACGTCGGAGCAATAAAAACGTGCCCATCCCAACCGAGAGAGACATGCGTGTAGCATGGGATAAGGCACTCGGAAGCCTTCCCGCGAGCGTACGAGAAGCGGGGAGAGATCGCGACTGGAAGAAGGTACTCGAGGAGACACTTGCGGAGACGGACGAGACGTGTGTACCATGCGAAGACGCGGTTACTTCGAACCAGGTTGTGCAGGTGAAGAGCGTCCTGCGAGGTAGCGTGATAGGATGGCTGGACAAGAATGTCGGAGAGTGTTTTGTTACGTGCCCCGTCACGTACGAGAAGACGCTGGACGCGCTCTTCAACACTTCAAACGGCAATTATACGCGCATGTACCCTCTGAAGGACACGTCATATAAGAGGAAGAAGCATGGAGCTGAGGATCTGCTCAAGAATATGACGACGGAGGATCGGTCGCGAGTACGGGCGAACCAGCTGAGTACTGACGGTACGCTCGACGCGACGCTAATCTCTGCATGGCGATGGTTCTACAGAAAGAAGGGATGGCACAAGATCACTAAATTCGATAGCAAAGGAAGGATAACTGCGCCGTACGCGCTGTATAAGGCAAAAAATGTGACTGACCCTCTTGTGCGAGAACGGAAGCTGCACAAGGCGAGGCCGATCACGCCGTACGCGAAGCATCCGATGGCGAAACTTTTGAGCCTCGTGGGCCGGGCGTGGAGTTTCGCACTCCGGCACCTGAAGGGTGAGCACTTCATTCAGCACGACTGCCAAAGTGTACCCCGGATGCTGAAGGAGGCGGCTGAAGCGCTCCAAGGGAAGGGAGAGCTCAGCTACGAGATTAACGACGTCGACAGCTGTTACCCGAGCATGCCAAAGGAAGCGATGCAGGTGGCGATGAGGGATATTCTACACAATGTACGCCAGAACCTGCCACCGGGCGCGGGAGAGGACCCGAAAATACTTGTACCGAAAAGAGGCAAGAAGAAGTGCTCGTGGGCACAAGAAGGGGAAGTGTGGGGACACGCGTCGATTAACTTCTCGACGATGCTCGAGGTAATCGATTTCGATCTGGATAACTGCTATGTCATTACGTATGACGGACGCTTGCTGAAACAAACCCGCGGAATTCCAATGGGGAGTGCGCTATCGCCACCACTGGCGATAGGAACTCTTGCGTGGATGGAGCACGAGTGGATGCAAACGCTCGACGATGATGCGAAAGCGCGTTTCCGTATGAAGCGCTACATGGACGATGTGATCACGGTGACTGCCAAAGACGATAACGCATGGGATGTCGATCGTTTCCGGGAGGATTTCCGTCGTTCTGAATGCTACTGGGCGCCTTTGAAGCTGGAGGCAGCCGATAACGCTCATTTTTTAGAGACGGCTCTCGAGCTCGACGCGAACGGAGGTTTCCGGACGAGACTCAAGAACGTCAATGAGGGCTGCGAGAGAGAGCCTCGGGTGTGGCGCTACCATCGCTGGGATAGCTTCACATGCGCGAAGATGAAAGAGGGAATAGTCGTTGGATGCCTGCTCAAGGTGAGTGCTATGGCGAGCGATGACGAAGGGTTCGCGCTCAGCGTGACGAGCAAACTCAGGGAGTTCATGGCGCTCGGATACCCTGCACACGTGCTCAACGGGGTGATCGGACGCGCGTTTGCTCGGACAAAGGGCGAACGGCTCCTACGAGCAAGACAGTGTTCGCAGTGGTGAGGAGGTTTCTTGCAAAACCCTTACCCAGACGAACCAAAAAATCCAAAAAGACAGACAAATGTATTGTGTCGGGCTACCGTCCAAAGGCGGGTGTAGTCGACCAAAGGACCACGAATCTGGTCTGTCGACAGCACGAATTTGGGATGGGACACCTTCGGGACCCGGCTGCGTGCTACTTGGATAGCACGCTTTCGGAGTACCGACGGCTAAGGCCGAGGCAGAAAAGGTTTCTGTTTTTTTCTCCGCTTTTCTTCACAGGATTTTCCTGTGAAGAGAGACGTAGAGAAACAGATCTTTCAAACTCGGTGTCGAACCACCAGCCCGACGCTCACTACAAGTGAACACATTTTTGTGAGCAAGCGGAGAATTCTTCTTCGAGTCCAAGACGCCGTAGCGCGCTGCCATGGTGGCCGCTGCCTTGGGCAGTGGCCACGGTGGCCGACCCAGGGCTCCTACGCGGCTACAGCCGCGCGCGACCGCTGCCGCTGGCACCGGTCGCGAGGACTCTGGCTCGGCATGCGCGCCACCGGCCGGTGGGCCGCGCTCCGCAGGACGACGCCTGGATGCAAAAGGCATCCCGTGCACGCTTCAGCAGAGCTCGGCCGGCCGGCCGCCGCGATGGGGCGGCGAGCACCTGGAGGCCCCTCCTGGCGCTGCTGCCTCAGCTCGACCGCCGGGCGCGCAGCGAGGCGAGCAGCAGCGAGGCGAGCAGCAGCGAGGCGAGCAGCAGCGAGGCGAGCAGCAGCGAGGCGAGCAGCAGCGAGGCGAGCAGCAGCGAGGCGAGCAGCAGCGAGGCGAGCAGCAGCGAGGCGAGCAGCAGCGAGGCGAGCAGCAGCGAGGCGAGCAGCAGCGAGGCGAGCAGCAGCGAGGCGAGCAGCAGCGAGGCGAGCAGCAGCGAGGCGAGCAGCAGCGAGGCGAGCAGCAGCGAGGCGAGCAGCAGCGAGGCGAGCAGCAGCGAGGCGAGCAGCAGCGAGGCGAGCAGCAGCGAGGCGAGCAGCAGCGAGGCGAGCAGCAGCGAGGCGAGCAGCAGCGAGGCGAGCGCAGCGAGGCGACCTGCTGCGAGGCGACGTCTGCCGCCGCGCTGGCCACCCGCTTCCTCGCCAGCCCCTTCTCACTCTCGAGGAGGAGCTCTGCGATGTGCTTGGCGTCAGTCTGGACGACGCCGACGTGGTTGTCCTGAACGAGCTAGCGTGCGGGGAGAGCGGCATTGTGCATGGTGCGGAGTGCATTGCCGTTCTTAACGGAGTCGCTTAGGCGGCTCCGGTGGTGAGCCTGTGTGTGTGCCAGTCCGCGCCAGTCTGCGCCCTTGTCGTGCCAGTGTGCTGTGAGAGAGGCTTGTATCTTAAGAATTCTTCTTCGAGGTGCCTGACCACCCAAGACTGCTTTCAGACGCTTACGCCAATTTCCCCTCAACCTGCGCAAATCGTGCGTGCAACTCGTGGTACTTGTAGTATAGTAGGGTGAGAATTATGAAAAACGCCGGAATTCGGACGAGTACTCTCGCCTGCACAAATTCGATAAGTGGGACAAGGAGGGATGCGTCCAGGATGCACGTCCTGCAGTTTGAGGTGTGCTTTCGTTCCCTCTCCTCGGTGACCAAACGACGAGCTGGAGAGCTGGCGACCGAACGCGACCCGAGGGTGGCTGGCGGCGATGGACGACCGAGCGGAGACCCAACGAATCGAGGAGCGGCTCCCGCAGGGAACCGACGAGTGGCTCGCGAGACCTCGGCTGTCGACGACTTCGCGAGGAACGATCACGCCGGTGGTGATACTGCAGCCGCTGTCCGCGCCGGTCGGCGACGTGGTGATGTACACCGGGCCGTTGCAGCCGATGGGGCAGCTCCACGGGATCGGCAGGGAGTTCGGTGTCGGGACACAACCGTTGCCTGCATGCGTTGTTCGGGAGGCCGGCGAAGGCGCGATCACACAAGATGAGCGCAGAGGCGACGTCGGGCCGACGCGAGCAAACAAGACGAGGCGGATGGATCGGCGCCTCACTCACTGGCAGTGCATCTACTGCCGGCGCGAGACGCGGAACGATGCACGGGCGACGAGGCGCTGGAACTGCGATGGCGAGAAGGAGCAGCTGCGTGACGCGGACAGTGAGGGGCGCGAGGCGGCGCGCCGCGGGCAACGTGCGAAGGAGTACGCTGGCAGATCGCTGAACGCGCTCGGCGCTGGCACGTCGCTGGTGCCGCGAGCCGCGCAGGGAGTGTTCGAGCGGGCGCGGTTGGAAGTGCTCGTGCACTGGGAGACGCACTCAACAGGGACATCTCTCTATATACACGAGTGGGGTATTCACACTCCCAACAAATCCCGCCGACCACCAGGCCGCGGGATGATGTGTGCGTGGTCATGTAGTGGGTCTCGGAAGCTCCCCTCTCGGGCTAGGGCAAGTGCGGGGCCACGAGCACCAGGCAGGCGGCGCGGGCGGCGGAGGCGGCGGAGACGGTGGCGAGCGCGGCCTCGAGGCGGCCATCGAGGGGACGCGCGGGCAGCGCGGGCGCAGGGTCGGTGGCGCAGTCGGTGGCGCATCGCTAATGTCCATGCCAAGACTCGAGTCATCGTCGCCGTCCCCACTCGGCGCCGTCTCGCCCTCCTCTCCTTCGAGGGCTGCGGCGCGTGCCTGGGCGTCCTCCTCTTCGCGCTCAGCGGCAGCGCTCGTGCCGGGATCGCACAGACGGCACATGCCAGCAAGCCCAGGCGCGGCGAGATCGGGCGCAAAACAACGCGCGGCGCCGCATGTCGGGTTGAGGCAGCTGCGGCATCGGAGGATGGTGCTGTCCCTAATGCCAGCTGGCTCCGCGCAGCACGCGCACCTCACCTGCGTGCCTGCACCGTCAGCCTGCGCCATCTCGGGTACAGCATCCTCCGCCGCCGCGGCGACGCCGCCGCGCACCAGCACCTCGTTGAAGGCGGCCATGCCCATGATGAGAGCCGGCGTCTCGAGCGAGTTGAGCGTCAGAGCAAAATCAACCGAGTAGATGTCAAATGCGTCCGGTTCGTAGTTCCGCTTCACCATGCCACCTGTTGCATTGTCATTACATTAAACCTGTTACTGTACTCTGCAGCGTGATCATTATTACATTAATTACCAGTTAGCTCCGCCAGCGATCTTCGCGCCACGCCACGTGGAGGGTCGAAGATGTGCATCGGCCTCAGCTTCTCAATGATCAACTGGCGGTCCGTGTCCGCCTTGAGCACCCGCCGCGTTTTGGGCACCTTCGGCACCTTGTCCGGGTCGGCGCCGATGCCGGAGAGGGACTCTCGCACGCACGCGAAGAAGGAGTCGAGCGCAGTCTTGACGCGAACGATTTGGAAGGTGATCACCTTGCCGAGGTAGAGCTTGATGCGGCCGATGCGCGTCTCCAAGAGCGCGTCGGCGGCGATGCCGTTGGCGTAGCGGTCAGGTCTTCTCCACACCGTTGTGGCATTCACGTCCGCTAGTTAGTACCAATATGCTGTTCCTCATTGCCTGGCTCCCCTCCTGGCAGTGCACGCAGCCTCGAGCCGGCCGTTTGGTCGGTCCGCTCGCCTCCGAAGCCGCTGCTGCGCCGCCGTCTGTGCTCATCTCTGAGGCCGAGGTAGCCGACCTCGAGCCTGCCGTCGCCCTGACCGTGCGCGCCTTCTTCGGCAAGCTCGGCCGCGAGCGAGGCTTCAATAACGCGCGTGCAATCGCGTTTTCCCAGCTCTCGGCCGAACAGGCTGCCAGTCTCCGCGCGATAATCTGCTCTGGCACCGCCCTCAAGGCCACGGCGCCAGACGGGAGGCGGCGCCGCATCGGCGGCTCATCTCGATGTACATCGACAGCAACTGTTCGTCTACCTGCTAGGCTGGTCGGGTTTGTCGCCGCCACGTCCGCCAACGGTGGCCGAGCGCTGCTACTGACAAACCTCGCAGTCGCACCAGCCGAGCGGCGCCACCGTCGCCTCGGCCGCCAACGGAGAGAGGGTTCCGAACGGTGTGTGTTCACGAGTGTGGCTGTGAGCAGGCGGCGGCGCCTCGGCCGCCGGCTGGTGGAGAGGGTACTCGAATCGGCGGGATGCAGGCCGTTGCTCGAGGTGGAGACGGGGCGAGATTGCCCGAGATGACCCGAGGTTGCCCGAGATCAGGCCGACCCTGCTCGAGGTGGAGAAGAGCAATCGCGCGGCCGTCGGCTTGTACGAGGCGAGTGCGGCGTGGCAGGGGGCGGGCGGTCCACAGCCGCTTTTTGATCCCCTGCCCGCCAGCTTGTCATTCGCAGGCGTGCTGCTAGCTCCATACCTTCGTCCCGCTAGAGCTCCAAGCCGTGTGTCTCGCGCCCTGCGGCGGGGGGGAGCGGAACCTCTTCCCAAGAGCACCACTCTCCAAGCCGTTGGGTCCACACCTTCATCCCGCTCACTAGCCTGGCGTCGAGTCTGGGTGCTTGTCGCCTACTACAACTACTGCTCGCAGGCAGCTGGCGGAGTGTCTTGTGAGAGTTGTGTGTGTGTCTGCGTGTCGCTCCAATGTGACCGTCATCTCCTGTCTCGCGTCCACCCATACCGACCTGGCGTCCCAGTCCGAGCCTCTCGCTGCTCGTCACCTCATTCCCTACCTCCCTAGGCATGCGGCTTCGAGGTGGCGGCGGAGAAGGAGGGCAGCCCGGCGCTAGATGCTTGACAGCCCTTCTCCCGATGCCACTCCGCTCGATGCCACTCCTTTTGGATGCCGCGAGATGCGCCTTCTCTTAGCAGGTGCCACACCTCGAAGCTGCAGCTGCATTCGACACTGCGCGACCCCGTCTCCGCACCCTCAGCTGCTCCCCGCGTCTCCACCGGCAGCCAGTACCGACGCACACTCAACTCTTCGTCCCTCAGCTCACGTGCTCTTCCACGCAGGCAGCCGGTATGCGGTCGACTGGTGGCGCGGTCGCGTCTTTGCGGCGACGTCTCTCCTCGTCATGCGCCACGGAGGCAAGCCGGGGCGCGGCGAGGGCGGAGGGGCGGAGGCGGAGGCAAGAGGCGCGGTTCGCGCGGAGGCCTCGGGGGTGGTGGACAGTGCCGCAGAGGCGGGCGGCGCCGCGACGTGTGACGTTGACAACCCGACCGGCTTGTGCGTTGACAAGGGCTCCTAGGAGGCCGCGCCGAGATGTGCGTCCGATGAGTGACAGTGATGACATGTACAAAAAAGCAAAGGGGGAACGGCGGCAGAAGGTGCGCGGTGCTCGGCCCTCTCGCCGCAGCGTATCCGCAACGGAGGAGGTAGGTGTTGCAGGAGCGGACCGGAGACCGTGGAGTGCGGAGAAGCGGAGCTGGGCGCTGTGCGCGCAAAAGCAGCCACGCGGCGGCAGGGGTTTCTGCTTTCTCCTGCCGGGGAGTCGTGGAATGCAGTTTCTAAAACGATACATCACGCCACAGATAGAAGCGCAAACAGGACAAGATACACACAACTACAACAATAATCAAGGGAAAGAGACTCTCAGCACTCCGGTGCGAGACTACAAAGAGCGGCTCTCGGTGAAACCGAAGTAAGCATGCGAGGGATACACACTCCGCGTACAGGCTCAGACGAACTGGCGCTCGTCGGGCGAGGGAAGCGAATCGCCGCGCCGCGAGGGACGCACCAGCGGCTCCCCAGTCAGCTCCGTGTGTAACTCTGGCGGCCTCGGAGACGAAGGCATCACCGCGTCAACCCCACGATCGCCGCCGCCGCCCCGTGCAAAAGCCGGCGCTGCGATCCGCGGCGAAGGCGGGCCCATGCCGCCGCCACCGCCACAAAAAGCGCCAAGCCTAGTCCCGGCACCCGTGAGGGAGAAGGCGTCGCGCGACGCCGAGCGGGCAGCACACTTGTACGAGCTCTCTGCGAAGTCCGTGTCCTCCTCTCCCTCGAGCGCCTGCGCGAGATGCGACTGCGCCGGCTCTACCCCTGCGCGCGGCAGCCGCGAGGCGAGCGCTTCTCCCGGGAGCCACCGCTCGAGCACGCACGAGCCTCCTCCGCCGCAAAGGGGCGAAAAGATAGCGAGCAAGTCGGACTGCCGCCGCCGCACAACCGCCTCGTCGTCGGCGCTCAAAGCACGCGTCGGCGGGGCGCGCAAGTCGGCATCCTTGAGGTGGACCTGCGGGGAGACATTGCTCGAGATATTGGAGAACTCGCTCTGTTGATCTCTAGGCCATACTAGCGGACCTCAAAGAGGATAGCCGAAGCGTACTGGTGCGAGCGAAAGTCGAGGACCTGAGGCAACGTGCGGAGGACCACTGGGTAAGCGCCGAGCTATTCCCTGTTGCATCAAGCTGGATCCCCGCGCAGATCCCAAGTGCAAAGGGACGCTGCACGCGCGCCTCGAGGCCGTGCTGCCGAATCAGATCCATCAGCCGCACGCTCAGCCCCCACGCTGGTGGCGCCGACGTGCGCAGCCGAAAGAAGACGGGCGCTGTTGACACGTCCACCACCGGCCCCGCGCGCGCGCCAGCTCGTCGCCCCCCCTTGATGGCGTCGAGGATGGCGCGCTCTTTCCGCCTCTGCGAGCCGCGGAGGGCGGCGCGCGCGAGCACCGGCGCAATCACCACCGACGCGAGGACAGCGAGCAGCAGCGCGGCGAAGGTCGTCTGGTCGAGCAGGCCGCTGTTGAGCGAGGCGGTCGCGACGATGAAAGCGAACTCACCCCACGCGGCCATGGTGAGGCCGACCGTTAACACATTGGCGCGCGATGCAGGTACCACCAGCAAGCCCGACGCGAGCTTGCCGAGGCCGGCGCAGCTGGGGAAGGAGCGGGGAGGGGGGTGGGGGGAGGGGGTGAAGCGGGTGGGCGTGGCGACGGTGATTCGGTCGTGCGATCGAGCTCCGCAGCACCTGAAAAGTGCGGCACGGCCAAAGACGGTGGCGGAAGCAAAGGAGCGGACCGGGACGATGAATCCGCACGTGGCAGCGAAGAAGAGCTTGACGAGCCACGACTGTAGCCGCTTGACCTGCTTGATCCACGCGTCGTGCAGCCGCGGGATGGTGCAGCAGGAAAGCCCGGCCAGAAAAGCGCCGAGCAAATGACTGGACCCGAGCGAATGCGCCTAGAGGGGACGTGGCACGTCGCGGCGTACGTCTCGAAGGCTCTCCAGCTCTCCAGCGGAGCAAAGGCGCGCGCCAGAGGCACAAAGACAGCCGTGACTAGCAGCAGCAGCAACAGCAGCGCCCGCTCCTCGGCGGCACGGCCCCCGCTCCGCAGCTGCGCAGGAGCGACCCGCTCGGCGAGCCGGACAAGGCGCGGGGTCCCATGCTTTGCGATGACCACCGCCGCCGCCATCAGCCCAACCGAGGCGACCGCCGGCGCGACCATCGATGCGGGCGAGGCGTCCGAGCCGAGCGCCTGCAGCAGAGTGAGCAGCAGCAGCGCGATCACGTCGTCCAGCACGGCGGAGGCGATGATCAGCTGGCCAACCGGCGTGTTGAGCGCGTCCGCGGCGCGGAGCACGTTGAGCGCGATGCCGATGGAGGAGGGCGCAAGCGTGCACCCCGCGGCGAGGCTGGCGAGAGGGTCGAGCCTACCCGGTGGGAGCCGGCGGTCAAAGGTAGCGTTTTCGCGTGCGGTGCTGCAGCCCTGGCGTGGCCATGCGCGTCGGAACACATCTCGACTAGGAGGCGGGGCTCACGCGGCGTGAGCGCAGCTGTCCATCGCACTGCGGACCACCGGGAGGACACGGGGATGCTTGCCTCTCACAGTCACAGGGCTAGGATTTGGCATCTGTGCGGTCGAGCCCGAGCACGGCGCGGCCAAGCCCGGCGGCGATGCACACGGGCAGGCAGGTGCCACACAGGGCGATTGCGACACCGCGCGGGCCGACGGTGCGCATCATTGGCAGGTCGGCGTCGAGGCCCGCCTCGAGCACCTGCGCCGGCATGCGCAGACGCATGAGATTCCGTCGGTGGCTGTGTCGCAGCGCTCTCTGTGCGCTGCGGGTGGACAGGAGTTCAGAGCTCGCCGCAGCCGCCTTCTGGATTCCGATGCCTGGCGTCCACTGGGAGCGGCGCACGGCGGAGGGGCGGCAGCGGCGCACCAACAGCAGCAGTCCGACTTCTCCGTAGAGCATGAGCGCTTCGGCGAGCGGAACAACGTCGAGGAGTGGCGGCCCCATCACAAGGCCCACGGCAAGCTCGCCCACCAGCGACGGCATCCGCATACCCGCCGCCGCCTTGCCCCCCACCCACACGGCAATCAGGAAGAGGAACGACATGACCACGTCGTCAAACTCGACCTGAGAGTGGTGGAGTGCACGCGACGTGAGGGACTGGCAAGACTCGCGGCGTCCGCCTCTTGCGGTGGTGCAAGGGCTTTTGCTCGGTGAGCGGGCTTCAGCTGTCAGGCTAGGGTTGGGAGGGGCGCAGTACGGGGTCATGCCGAACCTCAAGGCCGTGTGCATGCTCAAAGCCAGCGTCGACGTCGGCTGTGTCTGCCGAGGTTGCTGAGAGGGCCCGGGCCATGCCTCGCGCCAACATTGTGGCCCTCGCCGCGCGTGCCAAGCCGGGGAACACGGGCGGAGACGACGACGGGCTAAACGGGCTAAAACCGCGGCCGGCCTACTTTGTGCCGTTCACGTGAAGGGGCGAGCGTGGTCTGGCTGAGTGACCGCGTTACGGCGATTCCCGCGGGCGAAAACCGGGGTGGACTTTACTGGGAGAGAGAGAGTAAGCTAAAAGTACGTACTGGGATATATTCTGGGCACTGGGGACATATCCGCGTCGATATTCTGGGGACATATCCCAGTACAGATGGCTAGTGCCATTTCACTCTGACACGCTAATCTTGAAAACGTCTCCAACGGAGCTCCGTGTTGCTCCCAGCGCCCTCCCCCGCGCTTCCTGCGGCCATGGCCGATGATACTAGTATGGGGGGTCATCTGGCTACCGCGAGAGCGACCCAACTCGTCGACATCGTCCGATGATGGTGCCGCAAAGTCAGCCTTCGGAGGCTATCGTGGGGTCGAGCCGGCAGTAGCCGTGACATGTGGTTCCACCACCCTCGTAGGCTTTGCCTCTGGCCGCCACCGTTCCCAGGCTGCCTAATGGGATGGAAAGGAAGGCTCGGCGAGCGTATAGAAGCGTGCTCGACCTCGTCGTGGCAGCCTGCATGGCAGCGCTGGCAGGCGCGATGAGCGTCGTGCCACCTGACCAGAGACGGGTCGCAGGTGTCGTACCGAGCGCGTCGAGACCGTGTCCTGATGTGATCTGCACGGGTGAGTCACGTCGGCGTCAAAGGAGCGACGTGCGACCTGTCAGAGCTTGATCTCCGATCTCAGCGGCGTCGAGTCGTCTCCGGCGCGCGACAAAGGTACATCCCCAGGACGCGCAGAGGCAGCTGCGACCCCGCCGAGTGGACGGCGGCACACCGCGCCACCTGCTGTGTGCCGCCGTCTACTCGGCGTGGTCGCAGCTGCCTCTGGAAGGCACCGAGAGGTACCTTTTTGCGCAAATGGTCAAATCAAGGTTTTGTAACGCGGGCTGTGCCACAGTGAAATGGCACTACCCGATCCGATACGGGGGTGCCCCCCGCCCCCCGGACACCACTGACCACAGACCAGAACTATAGGGGAAAAGGAGGGGGTGAAAAGGAACAGTCGCTCCCGCCCGTGCGATCTTTGTGCACAAGGTTCTTTGTCGAGGATGGCGCGGTTCACCCCTCTCAATGTACACAGGAAAATACAACACATCGGGCGCATCACACGTGCGTAACTGTCGACACAGCGCTGGCGACGTGGCGTGACCCTCAAGTTTGCATGCCAGCTTCCTTCCCCACCGGCCCTCTCGCCTACTCGCCCCGTCGGTGTCCCTGGCCCGTAATCGGATCGTCGATGGTGCCGCAGAGCCGGCGCGTGATGTACTCGAAGGCGTTGATCGGCGCGTACCGGGGCGGGTTGCCCTCGCCGCTGCAGCCGGGCAGGCACTGCACGAGCGTCGCCTTGTTCGGGTTGCAAAAGAAGGCAATCGAGTAGCGCGCGGGCACCTCCTCGCCCTCGCAGCGCGGGTCGCAGAGCACCTGTGCTCACACAGATCAGAGAGCAGATTGGCCGAGAGGAGCCGAGAGTGGCCGCGAGGAGCCGAGATTGGCCGAGAGGAGCCCGAGAGTAGCCGAGAGGCCGAGAGTGGCCGAGAGAGTGG